AAAACGCATCTTCGCACGGGCAGCCCGTGCGTTGGCCAATTATTCGCATTGCATTGCTACAAAAAACGCATAAAAATGAAGAGTATTTTAATGTGTAGCATCTTGTATAATTTGAGATATTCGTTGAAGGCGCGCGGTATCACGGAATTCTGTACAGGGTGCGATACTTTTTGAATTGCTTGAAATGCATTGTATTGTACATTAAGATAAACGCTTGCAGAGGTGCAATCCCTGATTCCAATCTGTTTTAGCTTGTCGAAGCTTCTGATACTGGATTAGAAACGGTACTGGCACATGATGAACTGAGAAAATTGAATGAACAAATTAAAAAAACAACAGCCGCTTTGCTGGCACTTCCTGTTCCCACGTACCAGAAGGTTTGTTACTTTATCTGTGAAATTTTTCCCTCCAACTTTTGGTTAACGGGGAACTTAGCGATTGACAACTCGCGAAGCATTCAATCTCGAACCATGAAAATACAATGCAACACATTCATCCGTCAAACAAGGCAATGTTTAGCCCAAATGCAGAATTAATGCACTAATTTATAAAGGCTTTGGAAGAGAATAAATGTTTCCTTAAATAGGTTTATGTTTATTAAAAAGTTCTGGAACAACTTTATAAGAAAAATTTGTTACTAGGCCTTACAAATCGGCTATTTTATTCCGGATTTTCGTTCAATTTGTCATTATTTATAAATTTAATGCTGTTGTTTGTTTGATTCACTTATCAATTTATCTTTTGGCCTACTTCAGGAGCATGATGATTATCTGGAAGCAATTCGTAACAGTCAGAAGGAGCAAAAAGCGATTGTTGAATTAGCAGTTGAACGTCAACGAAAAGCACTAGTAAATGAAGCCAGTGCCACTGCGAGCAGCGATGTTGTGCTTAATTCGCCCGATATATCCAACACCACCGAGGTTAATCTCGACTAATTGACAAAGGTTTGTGGCCAAGTTATTCCTTGTTATTTGCTTTGCAATTCATTCAACTTTTTTTGTAGACGCATTTCTTCTTGCCGTTTGATGGAGCTAGCAACTTCCCCATTCTTCTGTACTTTGGGCCCCTTTCATTCATACAGTTCTCGTTAAAATACCGTTTAACAGCTTTTCAAAAGTATATCTATCTCTTTCGCTCCTGGAATGAAAATTTTCTTTTTTGAGAGCTCTAAAATTGTC